TAGATACACTTACGATGCAAATGCATTATTATTTGGCTCAAAACGACTAAGGCTCAGAGGTTGTAAATCCTGCCATAAAGAGATCTTTCAATTACCTTCTGTTCAGTGAATCAGAGAAGAGGAACCCTTTCCCTGGCTTTTTCATGCAGAACAAATTTGACTCCCAAACAAATATCAATCACCATAATACTCTATATTTGAGGCCTCTATATAAACCTAACTCCAAGCTGTTTTATATGGGGTTTTCTTTTAAGAAGGTGTCAATCCAAAATGTTGCATCCTTAGTAGAACTTAAATTTGAAGCTGGTTTTAAATGGCTCCTCTCTTTGTGAGACAAAACTTTTAGGGTAGAGGATGGCTGAAACCTTGAGCCAGATTGAAATCTGATTTTAGAATGATTTTCTTTCCCTGGAAATTTCTTCTTTCTCAGCTTATCCCTCCTGCTGTGGTCATTGCTGGCCATACTGACCATGGGATCCATACAATTTCCTTGAAACTTCGTATTAGCTGCTCTCATTCCATTGCTTCAAATCGGTGCCTTTTTCCTCTCAGGCCCCCTTGCAACTCGACTTCTCCGTGCTTATCTGCCCTTATGTTATGCTGAACTTCTCCCACTTTGCCATTCCTTCAGTCACCCTGATCAGCTGCACTGATCTGCTCCCCAGCACCGCCTGGTTTCACACACCACCCTCAGGTTTTACTGCATGAGATTCTGGGAAATGGAATGTTTTCCCCGTGTTTTATGGCTACCTCTGCTTTGACCTCCTGAGCAGGTAGATAAGCAGACCAAGACAACAACAGCTCTTTTCAGAGTTGTTACTGAGGTTGTGTCAACCCTTGTGTCCATGTCCAAGCATGGGCTGAGGGGTGTCCCATTAGTGTTTGCACAAGTGTTTGCAATGTTGAGAAGGCTTCAATCAAAAGAGTTCCTCATCCAGTCTTACATACCTGTTCAGTCTTGTATATATCCGGGCATTACATTGTCCACTGGAAAATTCAGTCTTTTCTTAGCATAGTGATGGCTCTATAAATGATACTGTAAAGCTTCTATATGGCATAAATGAAAGGCAAGCAACATCTCAAGTGCACAAAAACATCCTGACAAAAATTCGCAAAAGCCTCTTTCTCTGAAATGGAGAAACTGAAGGCTCAGCTTCTTAGTTTCTTATCGACAATAAAAAAAGAGGTTAGGCCCATACCAAAATAACATTTGAGGCCATATTTATTAAAATACACACATATGTTTAGTAAAACAATATTTAAATAGGTCTTTTCTGCAGAGCATGTTCATAAAGTTCACATTCATTAAATTAAACGTGTTTTAGTGGCACACATATTTCCTGACATATGGAATAAATGATTTGGATGCATTTTTCAGTGTATTCTGAATGGAAGTGCGCCTTTCAAAAATGATGATGTGGCCACAGTGCCGGTGAAAGGTGCCAAACAAATATGTTCAGACACTGCAATTTTCTCATATAGAGACTATGACTTTACACAGAGCTTAGAAAAGAGCGAACGATCCTGTAGTGAAGGGATGGACCTTTGTGGCCAGAGGTCAGGTTTCTATCAGTCCTGCTGCTTAACCTCAGGCAAGTCACCTGATCACTTTGTAATTTAGTTTGTCCATCCGTGAGGAGGGCTCAGCCTTTCCTCCTTACTTGGTAGGGAAGCTGGGAGGCTTATGTTGCCAATGTTTGTGAAGTGTTTTGCAAGCAGTGAAAATTAGGAGGGACACCTCTCGTGGTCCTGCAAGAGTTTCTACACCCCCTCCATGTTTCTACTCACATGGAAATGGTGCTACTTTACAGTCATGGTGTAAGCTCTCCAAGACCACTAATAACGCTAAGCCCTAATGGAGAGACAGCTTCTCATCTTGTAATGTTCACGTTTATTTGTTTTCCATTTTTCTTCCTCTCACTTCAACTGATTTTCTTTTACTCATCCAGGTTAAAAACATAAAGACTCAAAAGCAAATAATCTACCTTTTAGATTTCATCCCTCAATTTCAACTAGAACAAAGCAGAAAAGCTCGTTCAGATTGTGTACATTTTAAATGAATTGATAGATCACTCCTTTGTGAGTATTTATAGCAAAGAAATACAATGGAGGCAATCACAGTGCCATAGTTTGAAAGATAATAGCACTGGTTCTTGAGTTTGTGCAGGCCTACTTAGGTCTTTATCTGTGATTGCACTATCTAAACAAATGCTTATCTTTTTTCTGCTGTTCTTATCTTGTTCCTCAGTTGATTGTTTGCTAAGTACCTCAGTGAACAAGACCCAAATGAAAATGCCTGTTCATGTATAATTTGTTTGGATCAGATTAAAGTGGAAACAAGGGAAAAGTGAGAGACAGAGAAAGTAGCACGGACCTTACAAGTGAGTAGTGGAGGTCAAGATGAATGAGCAAATATTTTGTTTGAGTTTTTTTCTTCTTTTTGCCAAACTTTTCTGTGTGCTTTCTAGTAGAGGGTAGGTTATAATAGCATGTGCAAAGGAAGTTCTTTAGATCATGTGGATTTGAAATGACTCTTAATATTGTAATAGAAGAAAAAGTCGTAGTAGAATAAAAGAACCTAACACAATTATACTTAACCTAACTAGCTCCCTTTGTCACACTGACTGTTGTCTGCTGACACTTCTTCCAGTGGCTGCTATTGCTTTCAGTTTTACTGTGTGTTTCTCATGCCAGTTCATTTTAAGATTGTATCAGTGCAGGCGTTTGAAACGGATTCTTCATTATTTTTTTGCAATTCTGGAAGAGTCAGAGGCCTGACAGGGATATGATTTGGAAGGGAGAAGCTAGCAATGTTGAGGCCCTTTCCTGTTTTCCTGTATTTGTACTGCAATAATAACTCTATCTATCTGAGATTTGTACTGTTTTGTTCAGAAGCAGCACTATCTTGTGCCTCATTTCAAATAGATAAGGTAATCAAAGGGTTCATGGGGAATAAAAAACTATGCAGGAGACTGTGAGTTGCCAAAAGCACAGCAGGCCGGAGGTGGCAGGACCAGGATTCCAGAGCTCCGTTGTGTTTCGGCACCATCTGCAAGCTGCCAGGAAAGGCAACCTTCTCACTCTCTCCATGGCTCCGTGTTGCTTCACCCTCTCATAGAAATAAACCCAGAGGAAAAACTATGGTTATCTTGTCAATGCCTCTTCATTCTACAGGACACAGATTTATGCAACGGTGCCCCTCTGCAATGACTTCTGGATTTTTAGAAAAAAATTGTCTAAAAAAAGAATTTTCAGACAAAGTTGATTTGAAAACAAAAGGCAAATAAAGGCAACAGCAATCCTATGTAACCTCTTCCAATAGTAATTGCTCTCCTTATTAAAAATGTATGATTTTTTTTTAATTTGTCAGGTTTCAGTTTCTAACACTAGACATTGTAATGCATGTGTCTGATCAGTTAAAATCTTCCAACTAAATGAATGGTTTTGAATAATCCTCATCTTCTTTAGAATTTTTTAAGATAAATTAAATTGAGTAGGTTCATTAGCATCTCATTGTAAGATATACATCTAGATCTCAAATAATTTTTGTAGCTCTTTTCTGTATGTCATCTACCTTGTCAGCATTTTTTGCGGGAGAGAAAGAATACCTGAAAAAGCTGTAACATTCTGCTTCTGCAGTGGTTTCAGAAAGATCACACACAGTGGTAAAAATATTTTTCTTGTGTTTGGCCACTCCTTTGATGACACATCCATGGATATTCCAGCAAAATCACATAATATGAGTGCATGTGGATAACCTGTATGTGCCTCAGACCTCTAGCCACATTGCTGGCTTCCCACCATCATATCCTAATATTTCTTGATAATCCAACCACCCCATTTAGCTGAGTCTCTTCCTTCATCAGAGGAGTTACCTTCCTTCCCATGCTTAACCTCACATTTCCCTAAGTCATCCAAATTCTTTCTATTCCTTGGACCTTCACTGAATCCCACAAACTCCACCAATTTTTTTCCATTTCACCTGCATTCATGTCCAACAAAATGATCAATTCAAGTAATGGCGAAAAGATTTGTCAGAAAGTAGAGAGCCATTTCTACCTGCCCCAAGAGTGCATAGAGAAGGTCAGTAGAAAGTCACTGGAAAAGGAGAGAACTGTAAATGTTGTAGCAGTGTTCTTGTTTCTTTCAACAATGTACATAGTCTACATTTATATCCTCTGTGTACATATACTTCTTTAATTGCACATTGCTGATATTCTTCCCTTCCTCTCTCCATCTCACGGAGACATTTCCAGGACATTCTTAGATCTGTTGAGTGTTTCAAAATATTCCATTTACAAAGAATCTTAAGGTTTTACTTAATCATTCACAATGCATACAAAATTAAAACCACAAAATTTCCTGAAAAGACTCCAAAAGAACCTCTTATAAAACTCTGTCATATTCAGCTACATTATGCCTAGACTGATATTTCTGACTGCATGCCCTGATCATCTCTTCTGGAGTTCAGAGCTGCCAAAAGGTTCGTTCCAGTAATAACAGCTCTTCCTTGCAAACTTCTTAAAGGCAGCAGCTTTCTCCTTAGTGCCTTCCAGTATCAGGTGAGAGAACATATCCATTTTGCTAATGGGACTGCTCACTGCTGAACATGAATTTCACAGAATCCCAATTTGACTTTTTCCTGCCATGGGCAGAGGATTTCCAAGTGCTGCCAGACAGGCTAATCCTGACAGGAACACCGCATTGTGGGAGATAGTGGATGTGGAGAGCAGCTTTCCGTGTTGCAGCAGGCCACCAGTACGTGTGTCTCCGTGTTGACTGGCTTGTTTTGGCAGAAGGTTTGTGGCAGTTCATGCAAAGGAATATGTACGACTGTGAAGTAAAAAGTGAAGGGTTTTTTAGCAGGACAGAATTACAGGTGAATGGGTAATTCCCACCAGGTGGGTCCAGTTTTGCCAGTAAACTCCTCACTGCAAACCAGGCTGCAGCTGTGTTTGCAGGTCTCAGTTTCTAGGCAGCTCAGTTCGCCCAGCGCGTACACGGGGGCCTCCAGATCGCGCTCCCTTGTCCCACGCGGCGGTGGGAAGGCCCGGCCCCGGCCCTGTGTTTCCAAACGGCGAGGCTTCCTCCGGCCCTGCAAGCAGTCGCTCGTCGCTGGAAAGCCAGGCTCGCACAAGCAAATATTTGGGGTAGCTGTTATGATTATTGTCTGTAACTGTCCCCATTGCGGAGGCCCTGGAATTCCTTTGGTCTCATAAATACTCAGCCGGGCCCTCCCCTCCCCCGTTAGCTGTCAGATAATTACACAGTTGGCTTTAGAGTTTAACTTGTCAAAGGAGTTTCATTACTTTGTTCCTTTTGGGCAGCTTCCACTATTGTGCTTTCTGAACACTAAACAGAACCTATATTAACTGTCAGTTAATTACACACCGTTTTTCTTCAGTATTTACCAGTCAAAGGGGCAGGTAGGCTGCAATCCTATCATCTCAATCACTGTCTCCACGCACAAAAGAATCAATAAAGATGAGTCACTTAGTGTCACCCAGTGTCTGATACTCAAAGCCACCCATTCCTAATTGCCTTTAGAGATGGATGATAATACAAACTTTGAAGTGATAATCAGCCTAATGAGTGGCCTTGCTGAGAGGGTAGATCATGTGTCAGAACAGTTTGCAGATGCGGGCAGGCACACAAAGCCGCCTCTCCTTTTAGAGCAGCGAGGACCACGGCGAGTCTGGCCTGCTGCTCCCACCGCCTCCATCCATCTTGCTCGCGGCCTTTAATCAGCGCCGGCGCGGCCGGCCCGCCAGATCCCTGCGTGTTTACGCTGCGCGTTGTTGAGGTAATAACTGTGTAAAAGAGAAATCCTCCGATTCGGAGTCGCTGGATTGGAATAATAGTGATTGGCCTGGCTGCGGAATGGCCGGGATCCTGGCTAACGCGGCCGACCCAGCGCGGTTAAAATCTTGCTCGCGGCCTTTAATCAGCGCCGGCGCGGCCGGCCCGCCAGATCCCTGCGTGTTTACGCTGCGCGTTGTTGAGGTAATAACTGTGTAAAAGAGAAATCCTCCGATTCGGAGTCGCTGGATTGGAATAATAGTGATTGGCCTGGCTGCGGAATGGCCGGGATCCTGGCTAACGCGGCCGACCCAGCGCGGTTAAACGCAGTCGGGCGCAGGCGGCCAGGCAAAGGCAGAGACTGTAAAAGGGTCATTCAGACAGCAATGAAAACAAACAGCATCAGCAACAACAACAAGACCAGTGTTTGGTTTGCTAATAAGAGCGTGAGCCTTGAGTGCCTGATCTGCACTCAGTTTTTTGCACCCAACAATCCAACCAAATCGATAATTTGGAAAAAGCAACAGGACAGAAAGCAAACAAACAAACAGAAAAGATTAAATTGTTATAATCCTCAGTCTGCGTGCAGTTGTATTACCACAAAGACATTTCCTTTTCAAAATAGTTGTCATAAATTCATTCAAGTGTGGACATAGAAGCTATGATCATGTTTGTGTTAATGCAAATGTTGCAATAGGAAAGGATTGTCCCGATTTAGCGGGATCCTTATACCAATTTAGCCAAATTTCAGCAAAAACAGACTGTGGGTGTAACTTTGAAATCTTCTCGCATAAATACTGATAATCTCTAGGATTACACCAACTTCATTTTAAAATGCAAGAGGAAAAACTAAGTGATTGTAAGTGGACCACTTAACATGTTTAGCGACTTAAATTTAACAACTTAATAATATTTTGGGGCCACATTCTAAAGTATGCTGTTTTCATCTTAGTTTTCACTGAGTCACTGAGTTGGCAGAGAAAAGTGGTGAAAAAGCTGAACAAGGACTTCAAGATTTGACCTCATTTTAATAAGAAGCTGACAGAAGTCTTTAATATTTTGCAATCAAATATTTTGCTTGTAAAACTTACCATGCAAATAAGGAGCTCTTAAAATAAACCACATGAGAAACAAAAATTGCAAAAAGGCAAATCAGTCCAGTGAAATAAAAACCAAACTATTGCTACCCTCAACAAAACAGAATTAGGCCCCTGCCACATAAATGCAGAACTCATATTTACTTTCACCACCTTTACTTCTCCCATGTTTCCTATCTTTTTTTGAGTAGTTGAAGCAATTTACCTTCCTACTTAAAACCACGAAATCACCTGGTAAAGACCACTCCAGCCATACTACTACACACTAAAGTGCTATTCTTCTGCAAGGTATTTTTATTTCCCTTAAATTTTATATTTCTTTAAAGTCATCTTAACTTTTAAGTTTATCAGTTATGTGATTTTTTGAGTAATAAAGTTACTAAACACTTTTTTTATTTTTCAATAACTGAATAATCCCGTATGTACATGCACAGGACCATATGCACACCATAGGTTCTTCCTAAGTTGGCTACACGCAAATGTTCTTTCAAACATGCAAGTCTGAAAATGTCCTTTCAAGCACAAAATACTGCTATGATTACATGATCTTATTATAATCACATCTAAAAACTCCATTTAAGCTCTGAAGTGTGTTAAATAAAGAGAAAAATTACCTGTGGCCAGACATATATAACGGAAGTTGATAATTCATGGTTAGTTAATAGAAGAGTGCTGACAAGTGGATGTGAATTAGTATTGCAAATTTAAGCATGTATGCTGTAGGCAGCTATGGATAGGAAATGAAAGAGGGCAGAAGACTGAATAAGTGGGCTTAGTGATGCAGAATGGGTGATGTCCATGTGGAAAAGGAAAGTTGGCACAGCTAATGCTTTACTGGATTTTAAGTTGTTATATTGCTGGTACACTCCACCTCAGCAATCTTGGTTCTAACCTCACATTGCAGATGCGGATTCCTGGCCCACTGGAAACTAGCTGGAATCCCTAAATTACGAAAATATGTAGATTTGGACCCTCCTTTCCGTAAGCATATGAATTCAAATTTATCTATAGTGCCACTGTGCTGCCTGTATATTAAAAAATGAAAACATGGGATAAATTATTAGGAGTTATAAGTTGCAACAATTGATACCAGCTGAAAGATTACCATAAAATCCATATGATGTAATACACTGTAAAGGAATTGACTAACTTGCTTTTTAAACAAAACAAACCTGGCTTTTATTGTATCCTTTAAATCCACTCAGTTGATACCATCCTTAGGATATGCATGTATTATTATTGTGGTATCTCTTATTCTTCTACTCCATAATCATAGGGAATGGTTTTATGATGCTCAATCTTGCTACAGACACCAACCAAATAATCCATTTCTGAATATTTTCTCTAGATATAAATCCCTAAGAAGGGGAATTATAACTAAGATTTTCAGAAATGATTTAATTTTTTGGTGAGCTCAAGTGCCTCAAAGGGATCTGGTTATCAAAGGATTTTGAATTCAGAACTTCCTAAAAATACTTTAAATTAGACACTAAAATAGAAGCAGCCATAATCACGAGTGATCTCTGAAAGTCCCTGGTGTGGTTTCACATTGGGTTTGTGCCACTCTAACACTCGGTTGTTGCTAAAGAAGGGACTCGTAACCCCACGGGTGCCTCTGTTATGCAGTCCCTTTCCATTATTCGTGCTTGCACACTTGCACATGAGCAAGCCAGCCTTCTGGAAGCATAACCCTACAGAGAAGAGCCAAAAAGCAAGATATCCGGGTTGCCTGGGTAGTGAGAGCACGTGGGCATGGGCTGCGAGCGCTGGGCACAGCAGCACGGGCCTGTCTGCAGCAGCCTGAAGATACAGCATTTTCAGAGCTAATATAGCTGCACATTTGCTTCTTTTCCAGCATAAACAATCTGGTGGTGCTTTACCAGTAATCAAAAAAATACATACAAAGGGTTTGATAAAGGGAACACCTTAAAGGGTTTGATTAAAGGAACACCTCTGAGCAAGAGGAAAGGTGAAGAGAAAGAAAAATGGAAAGAAAATAAAATAATGTAGCATGCTGCTATTTTAAGCTTTGAATGTACATATAGAGTTGCAATGGAGATTTACAGTGATAATGAGCTTAAACCAGCATCTCCAAGCTCTTTTCCAAACAAGTGGCTCAAAAAGTTTCACAAATACAAATAGAGTCCTATAAAACTTAATATGAGGCAGCTAAAGTGTATTTAGGAACAACTTACCTGCTGCTGAAATGTGTTTCTGGAAGAAAATACAGCATGGATAGTGAAACGTAGCATCACCATAAATAATGGAAACCACAGGAAGAAATTAAGGTGTTTAAGCACAGTTGGCAGAGATGAAACTTGGCCAAGGCGCGATGGTGAGCAATGCCTCTTATATAAAAAATGTCATGAAATTTTAATGGCAAACAGTAGTTGGAATCTCCTTTGGTCTCTTGTGAGACAAACCTCCAGAGTAAGGAAATTCTCCAGAATAAGGAAGATCCTTGGTTTGAAATGGTCAGCCCTGTGGTTGTTCCCTTGAAGATAGTGTTAATGATTTTAATTGTATCCGGCCCTTAGTGTGTTGCTATGTACACACTTCCAAACCCACTTCCTACCTCTCTTGGAAGTGTCTCCTTTTCCTCTAGTGATCCAGTCCAGCTCTTCTCTGCACTGTGACCTTGTCAAACCCCAGAAACTACTAGAGCAGGAAAAAATTGAAATTGTGGAACTCTGCCACAAACTTGAATATTTTCCTTTGATACACGCAGTATGATGGTATAATATTAAGTATATAAATTATGTAGCTAAATTAACACTCACGAGTTTGACTTTTGCAAAGACTTCTTATTTTTTAAAGGAAGTACACTATACTATCACTGAAATGTTAAAATGCAGCCTGATTCAGCACTGGGTTGTATTCCCTTCTCTCCCATTGACTTCAAAATGAATAAGCTCTGCCTGGGTATTTGGGAATTCATTGCTGCTAAGACATATTTTGGCAGGTCAACACAAGCATTATTCATAGGCCTCAGTCCAATCTGTCATCTGAAATGAAAGAGAGGCTTTCTTTAAAAAGCTAGTATCCATCCATAATTTGTTATCCTAGTAACTGTACCAAAACCTGTTTTTAAATAAATACTAAAAATAAGAGCAAGCTGATGAGCAACTGAAATAGAGTAAAACAAGTATGGAAGGGACTGCCTGTCCCACTCCAGCTATTGCAGACAACCAGCTCATATAATTCCTTCCATAAAAAAAATCAAGATCTGTCTTAAAAGCAGTTAGTTTTATTTCCTCCATTACTCCTATTGTGCCATTATTTGTATTTCT